GATGGATGAAGAAGAAGAACTTAACGGCGGCATCGATCTCACGTTATTTCCTTTTCTTTTGTCAAGCTATTTTATTTTATTTTTTTAATTATAATACTTTTTAAACTAATCTTATGTGACAATTTAATTGGTTTAGAAAAGAGGGGTGAATTATACCATTCACCTTAGGGGGTGAAGGCAAGTTTTGTTCTATTACAAACTATCCATTATAAACCTAAACATTGACATTATCTTTGATTTCACCACATATAATATAACCTTTTAGGTGATCCAAACAATTTTTTTTTTTGGTAAAGTAGATGTAAATTTCAAAATGTCTATGAATTGTTTTGGTTGTTCAAAAAATAAATGGAAATTTCAAATCATTTCACCTTCGATTCTTCAAGTAGATGTAGATGCAGACCTAATAGTTGGAAGTTGGGGAGAGTAGTTACGATACACTTTCTTGGATGTATGATAGATTCATAATAATCTTAACAAGAAAGCAAAGGTGAAAGGACACAATCCCTCACATCTTCCTTTTTTGGTACGAACTACAAAAAGTGACTATACCATCTTTTACAAAAGGAGAGGAAAAGAGATCTTTAAGATCGCAAATTCTAGAACTTCGACACACTTCAAGTAGCTATCAGTAGATACGTTATATATTAAAAAGTATATTTTCGATTTAACTATTCTCACATATGATTTTAAAAGTTTATGGGATAAAATTGCATGTTACATTGCACAATGAATGAATCTACGGGATTGACAAAAAAAAAAAAAACTAAGGGTAATTGCATTTCTGGAAATTCAAGAGAAATGAACGCCACGCAGCTGCATCAAAGAACCGAAGGAGAGAGGTTCATCAGGAATATTTTTGATTTTTGATTTTTGATTTTTTTTGTTTTCTGTTTTCTTTTAAAAAAAAAAATTAATAATTCTACCAATCGCGGATCGCCACGTGTCGTAGGACCTACGAAACAGTCAAGACTCGGGTTCACTGAGGTGACGCAAAGTCACCTGAATTTGGATCATTTTAATTTTTTTTTTCGAAAAACGTGTGAACATGTGCTATGATTCTTTGATGATGATGCCCTTATGTCTTCTTTACTGACATCTCATTCTCAACAAGTTGCAGGACACCGCTATCGGGCTTATACGAAGGCCCTCTCGCAACACAAGCCCAAAAGTCTCTGATTCCCATGGCCTGAGGGTTTAGTCAGATGAATTTTGTGTACTCAGTTGGCTTCTGACATATGTTTAATGGCCCACTTCATGTGATTCTGTTCTTCCTGTATGGTCAATCTCATCAGCGACATAGACTATTTTACCATTCCCAAAGAGATATTAGATGTATTGTGTCAATGTCATGGACAATCTCTTGTGAAGTGTGGTTAACGTTGTTAGAGCACTTGAAGGTTCAATGGGGGATTTAACACAAAAACCAAGAAAAAAAAAATATAATATTGTCAAATCTTGTCCAATTTCTTTTTTTTTTATTTTTATTTTTTTATTTTTTTTTTTTAAGAAAAAGTTAACGAAAAAAAAAAAAAAAAATAAAAAAAAATATAGTGTTCCACATTCAATTCTCAGTTATAGCAGCTGCAAGACCGAACCATGTGAGCTCTTCTTCTGCATGTCCCACTCTTGTATAGGCCATTGTTTTCAATCAACCAAAGTGAACTATTTGTATATATATATATGCTGCGTTGTTTTCATAAACAATGCAATACATCTTCATCTAGACTAAGAGCATGTGCAATGGGGAATACTTAGGGGAGTCCTTAGGAAAAAAAATAAAAAGGGTATTTCAGATTATATAAGGATATTTCAGATTTTTTCTTTAAAAAAAAATAAACTGACCACTCACGGACCGCCACGTGTGCAGTGGAGCCCATGAATAGTGTAAGGATTGATCCTTACATAAGGATTTTTAGGATAAAATCCTTAACTATTCATGGGACCCAATGATTATAAAATTAATATTTTTCTAAGGACTCTCCCTAAGGATTTCCTATTGCACATGGTCTAACAACCCTATCTAAGTTTAGAAACCATTTGTATATTACTCACAACACTGTCTCTCTTTCTTATTGAAATTATGAACTATTTCTCTTTCAACATTACAATTCAGGAGAACTTTCACAACATGTTATTTAACAAGTAATTTTTATTTGTTGACCAAATCACCATATAATAAATCCTCTCCCTGACATTGACACAAGCAACAAAATTAGACAAACAATCTCATAACTATGAATTAATTGTCGCATTTCATAACAGCCTAGCTTACAACAAACCAAAAATAAAATAAAATCTAAGAAACTAACATAATCAAAGGTCAACGCTATAATGGCGTGTTATCTCCCTTCTAACAATCTTTAGACAAATGATTTAACAGAAAAATGATCCAAATATCATCTCTTCTTCTTCTTCCTCTGATCACACTCTTAATCCTAATCCAATGCCTCACCGTTCAGTCACAACCTGTTCCATTAAAACAAATCTGCTCAAACGTCACAGGTAACTTCGCCGTTAATACCCCTTACGCCGTCAACCTCGACCGTCTCATCTCCTCTCTATCATCTCTCCGACAAAACAACAACAACGGATTCTTCAACATCTCACTAGGAGACTCAGATGGAAAAGTCAACTCAATCTCACATTGTAGAGGCGACGTCAAACCTGAAGACTGCACCAACTGTATATCAATTGCTGCAAAAAGACTTGTCACATTGTGTCCGGTTCAGAAAGAAGCGGTTATCTGGTACGATAAATGTACGGTTAGGTACTCAAACCGGACGCTTCTCAACAGGCTCGAGATTTATCCTCAAACGAGCATTTCCGGTACAAGAAACTTCACGGGAGATCGTGACGGTTGGGAGAAATCATTAAGGGGTTTACTAGAAGGGCTTAAAGGCAGAGCTTCCGTGGTTGGTCGGAGAATGAAGAACTTTGTTGTCGGAGAAACGAGCGGGCCGTCGTTTCAGACATTGTATGGTATGGTTCAGTGCACGCCGGATATAACGGAAGAGGATTGCTCGTATTGTTTGTCTCAGGGTATTGCAAAGATTCCGAGCTGTTGTGATATGAAAATGGGGAGTTATGTGTTGTCTCCTAGCTGTATGGTTGCTTATGCTCCTTGGAGATTCTATGATCCAGTGGATACTAATGAGCTAAGCTTAGTGCCTTCTAAGCCAACTATGACTCAACGGAATGAGACGAGTAGTGGCGCACAAGGTATGTCACTTGTTATGTATTTTGAAATCAGACTGTTTAGCATGTGTATGATAATTTAATCATTTTAGGTAATAATCATTCTGTTTTTTTTTTTATTTTTCACAGGGGATACAAAAAGAGGTGTACCTAAACCTTTGATCTTTGCGGCTGTTTCAGCTGCTGTTGTCGTCTTGTTCATCATATTATTAGTTGTTTTCCTAAGGTCTAGGAAGAATAAAAATAAGAAGAGGACATTTAACGAGGAACGAAACCTTGAAGGTAAAGTTAAGAATAGAATATACTATTCTTGTGCTCTGTTTCCTCTGTTTTGTTTACTTTCTTTATTAACATTGTGTTAATTACTCTGTTTTGCCTTGTTGTCTCTGTTTGTTTTTTCCATAAATACATGGTTTCTTTCTAACCTTTTTACTGGCATAAATATGAAGACATCAGCACAGATTCCATGAGATTTGATTTCACTACGTTACAAGATGCCACAAGTCAATTTTCACTCGAGAATAAACTCGGAGAAGGTGGATTTGGCGCAGTTTATAAGGTGTTTTAAGAAGAAGAAACTATTATCATATAAATTTTACTAAAGCTAGCTATCATCTTAATTTTTTTTTATATAAATGTGTTACATATCACTAGGGTGTGCTATCTGATGGACAAGAAATAGCAGTGAAAAGGTTGTCTAAAAATGCACAACAAGGTGAAATCGAATTCAAGAACGAGTTCTTATTGGTTGCAAAGCTTCAACATCGTAACCTCGTCAAGCTCTTAGGCTACTCAATAGATGGAACTGAAAGACTTCTCGTCTATGAATACCTCCCACACACCAGTCTCGACAGGTTCATTTTCGGTACAAAAGTTTAATTCACTTTCACCATTTTCTTGGAAACCACTCTACTCTTTTTTTTGTTGTTGTTGTTGTTTCTCATGTGTTGAGTATGTTTTACAGATCCGATCCATGGTAAAGAATTGAATTGGGAAGTTAGATACAAAATCATTGGAGGTGTAGCCAGAGGACTTCTTTATCTTCATCAAGACTCTCGTCTCAGGATCATTCACCGTGATCTTAAAGCTAGTAACATTCTGTTAGACGAGGAAATGACCCCGAAAATCGCAGACTTCGGACTGGCAAGACTATTTGATATCGACCACACGACTCAACGCTACACGAATAGGGTCGTAGGGACTTTGTAAGTATAATAAAAAAGTAAACATGCATCATCTTTTAACACATAAAAAATACTCGAATTCTGATTAAGTCATTTGGTTTTTTAAACAGTGGATATATGGCTCCAGAGTATGTAATGCATGGACAGTTCTCGTTTAAAACAGATGTTTACAGTTTCGGAGTTTTGGTTCTTGAGATCATCAGTGGTAAGAAAAACAGCTGTTTCAGCGATGAGGACAGCATGGAAGGCCTTCTTAGCTTCGTAAGTATTTTTTATCATATGGAGAAAAAAATAAATCAAAGTTTTGCTTATTAACCTCCTTTGATTTCTAATGTTTTTGGTGAAGGCATGGAGAAATTGGAAGGAAGGTGTTGCATTGAATCTTGTGGACAAGATATTGATGACAATGTCAAGTTATTCATCGAATATGATCTTGAGATGCATAAACATTGGTCTTCTTTGTGTCCAAGATAAAGTATCAGAGAGGCCAAGCATGGCTTCGGTTCTTCTTATGTTAGATGGACATACTCTTGCTCTTTCAGAACCTTCAAGACCTGTGTTTTTCACACACAGTAGTACAATGGTTTCAGATAATTCTTCTTCTTTAGGACACAACGCAAAAACTTCAAATTATAATTCCAACACTGAGTTGTATCCTCGGTGAGTTTGTCTGACATTCAAAAAGTGATAAATTAATTGATGAATCACGAGGTTTGATTAGATTTGTGTCAACTCACTTTTTAGTGAGGAAAAAGAGTGTTACAAGTCTATGTTTCACTTTCAAGAAGAGATACTATCTCATTTCTTGAAGAAAACTAATGTAGAAAATCAAGGTTATTTGAGTGAGTCCATGATCAGTTGAGGCGAGAAGCAAGATTGATAAAGGCTTCTTCACTGCATGGAATAGTGAGGCCACCCATAGGATGATTAAATCCAAATTCTTCTTCTGCTCTTCTTAGTAGCTCTTGAAATGAAGGTTGGTTCAAGTAAGAAATGGGAACTACAAATCTCTTCATCTTTCTTTCTCCTACGTAAACAGCTAAGTAGCCTTTTGGAACTTCAAGATTGCTAGAGGAAGAAGATGATGAGAACAGTTTTGCTTGACGGAGAATCTGCTTTGATGATTGTAGCACGCGAGGAACACTAATAGCCATGGATTGTCTTTGTTTCTTGAATTGAAAGTTTAATGTCTTACTGCAGAATGTGAGAACTTGTAGAGCTTATAGGTCATCCAGTGACGAGTATATATCCATAAGAGCATTATCTGAAGATAACCTTTTAGTGGGTTAGAGAAGTTTCAGCTCATAAATTTAACACAAACAAGCACATGGGTTTGCCGGACCACGGTATGATATGTAAGGGACCGCTGGTTATCAGATTCATGATTTCTGATGTGAAGACACAAATCAACATGACCACTTGTTAGTTAGATAGACATTATAACTAAGTCAAATTTTCAATTCCTGCCACAGAAAATTTTGAAGTCTTTTTGTGACTTTGTCTGTATATAATCATGTCATGTGGTCCTGTACCCTTTTGATATCATTATGAAGAATTTATGAATTGATCAGTGATAGAGACTTATGGTTCTTTAGGTACACAACTTATAGTCCCTACATAATCTATAGAGAGATTTGGCATGTGGCATCTTTGAGACAATACGCCCCAATGAAAGTCATCATGTAGGACATCATTAGACGCTAACTTCTCAGACACCATTTAATGATTTGTTCTTGGTTTGGTATCTTGAATCCAAAGCCATGTGCTCTGTAATGAGAAAACCCTCTTAAAATAAAGTTTATATAATAACAGATAATAATCCTTCTGATACACAAACTAAAAACACATTTTCAATTCTAAAAAAAATCTCAAAGCACTTCAAGAAACCCTTTTAGCTTCAAACTCATTAAGCTTCAAGAAAACATAACCCACAAAATGGCTTTTATGAGAAGTTTCTTGGGTGGTAAGCAAGCAATGCGGAGGAAATCATCTTCGACACCAAGAGGATTCATGGCGGTTTATGTTGGAGAGAATAATGAGACGAAGAAGAGATACGTTGTGCCGGTTTCATATTTGAACCAGCCTTTGTTTCAAGAACTGCTGAGTAAATCAGAGGAAGAGTTTGGGTTTGATCATCCTATGGGTGGCTTAACCATACCATGCCATGAATCTTTGTTCTTCACCGTCACATCTCAGATTCGATGAATTCAACAACATTCATTTTTTTTTGTTTATAGAATTGTGTTATTTGAAGTTATATATGTACAATGTAGATATAGGAATTGGTTAGATACTACTTTCCCCAGGAAATAGTTGTAAATTGTTTCAGTGAGAGGAATATTCATCATACATGATTACAAAATCAATACAATAATACATTTGTCTTTGGACAGCAAATATTCCACTTTCGATCAGATTAATCTCAATAAAAAGGCAGGGTGTGTGCATTGAGTATACCATAGTCTTTTGTAGACTTGTAGTACAAGTTTCCCAGTACTCAGGAAATAGTAGAGAACTCGGATTTGATTATTATTTCTCTCTATTCTTTCACAAAAATAAACTCGTAATTATATAGGCCCATACGTATTTTTAAAAAAAAGCCCAAGCCCGTAAATTGAACGCCTCTATGGATATATTCATACATCCCAGACACGCGCTCCTTAATTCTAATTCTTCCGACAACGACCGTTAGTTGTCACTAGAGACGTGTAACTAGGGTAACCTGCCGATTAGTCTGGTTCAGCTAGCAGGTCAAACGGGGGATAAGATGGGCGGCTGTAGACCTTATTTATGTACAGATTAATGTAAGTCCTTATTTGATTTATATTATTGAATTTTACGTGTTATTATTTCTATTTTTAACATACGTTTAGTGTTATTCTTTTCTTCCAAATAATGCCACTCAACTATGTTTTAAAAATTAAAAAGGACTAGTAATTTTTAATCTTTTTAGTTGTGAATCTATTTTCAGTGTCCTTAGAGCAACACCATCGATTAGTTCCTTGAAAAGAGATCCTTAAAAACAAAATAATATTAGTTAACTTTAATACATAAATTTAAATTTGAATAAAACAGTTGAATTATTTAGATAGGGACATGTGGAACAACATGCAAGCAAAATATGACACGTGGAGGCAAAAGTTGAGGAGCGATACTACATTTAGCATTTTTGTGAGCGGTACTACATTTATTTGGCTTTTTCGATTTTTTTTTTCACTTTTGTTAGTACCTTGTATCAAGTACTCCCCGATGGAGTTGCTCTTACTAACCATTAATTTTTTGATGAAAGACTCACATAGATTGATTTTTTTAAATATACATTTTAGTTTTGAATCTATTTTCAATGTTCTTACTAATCATAAATTTTTTGATGAAAGACTCACATAGATTGATTTTTAAATATATATTTAATTAGACATTTTCTTACATTCATTGAATTTATTAACATTTTTATTTTTTTTCAAAATTTTTAATATATTTCTCCATGTGAAACTGTTAACCTATAGTTTGTCCTCCTCTAAATAGTAAGAAGATTCAAATGTTGCAAATGGGGGCTTGGACTTGAAGAAAAATTAAGCCTCATTAAAAAGATATACAACTATGAATCCTCACATGCCGAATTAAGTTGGAATACGACCTCAAAACCCTACCTCAACTCCCCTTTATTAGACAAATGATGAATCGATGGCTAATGAAAGCTTTAGTCATATATTTTGTCATCTTGATCGTTCTCTCTAGGTGCCACTCTGTCTTTCTTTTTCCCTGATGGTAACCCTTTTGAAATTCAACTGTTGATCATCGTACAAGAGAAATTAAACCAGTCTGATCTCATAATTTCTTATCTTTCCAGGGTCCAAGTTTGCTGCATCCCATGTGATGAAAAGACCCTACATTTCACTTCAGATCTTGCCACCTTTATTTTCTTGACTTAGAAACATAGCTCATGGTTTCTCTTTCACGTGAATATAGAAATTAGATTCAGTCCCTTCTTAAACAAAAACGTCCATAGAACTTTCTGAGATTTATTTCTTATGCTTGATTTGACATAACTTTTGAGTAAATATGCATTAAAACTGTCGTTTGAACATATCTGTATATTCACTTTTTAGAGTTCATTTATAGATTATACAAACGATAAATAACTTTTTGGATTTGAGAAAATTAGTAATAAAGAGTGTTTATGAACAAAGAAGAGAGCTACTTAGTTTTAGGTTTGTAAAGTAAAGAAACAAAGTTGTACAAACAGGACAGCTTTTAAAGGGTTACCGATTTCTGGCCGCAAAAGTAGAAAATAGAGATTCAGGAATTTCTTAAAGTGAGCAGACAGATTCAATTCTAAGTAAAATTAGTAATAAAGAAGGTGCATGACTCTGTAAAATAGGAAAGTTGTACAAAAGAGGACAGATTTAGGGAAGGAGGAGGAGCCAAGAGTAACATGGGGGCTTTCATGTGCTTGGTCGAGGCGAGAGACGTGTCCTTTTCATTCCGTAAGGCGAAATTGTCCCTTCAAAGATTCGTAAATTTTCTCTCTAATCCTCTTCTCCTCCTTTCTCACTCAATTTTTTTCCCCCAACAAATCACGTTCGCAGAACATGCTAGCCTCTCTCTCTGACAACGACCCCCAGTCTCTCTCTCCATTTTTGTGGTTGTTAAGAGGCAAAACCATTATTCTGTTTCAATTTGGTTGCTTGATGTGATAGATCTCGGATGCAACTCCCAATAATCAACTCCAGATCAAAGATTAACCTTTGTAGTGTTGCAGAGTTACGTGTGACACAAGTAATTAACGTTGCTTAAAATACTATCATGCTAGGTACAAATACATTAAATGACCATGAACATTTTTAAAAATAAATTAGGTAAAAAATCTACGTAGAATTTTTCTAAATAACGTACTTTTTCTATCAAATGCCATAATTTACTTGAAGCAACATGTTCATTTAGAGGAATAGCACCCTAAATAAGAGCTTCTTATTTTTGCAAATAAAAAAGTTGGTTATTCACTTTATCATCTCATTATTCATCTATAGTCAGCATTATGGCCGACGCCATGAATTAAGAAGGAACGTCACAAGTTAGCAAAGATGGGAAGCTCAAGATCGTGAGACTTAGCATGTTCTTTGTCCCTAACCTTTTACGACCAAGAACAAAGATCTAATAAATGCACATTTGTCTATAAGCATATAACTATCGAACATGGTCAATACGTAATGTAAGCAAATACGGTCACTTGCAGACAAGAGTCAAGGCGTACTGATTTTTTGGAAGTTTTTGTATGCATTTGTTACAATGTGTTTTCGCAGATAGATATTATGTAACCAAATGGCTGCAATTAAATAGTTTTTTTTTTTTTTTGGGTTACGACACTTATTTATCTCTACTGGTTACATTTTGGTTGTTTTGGAGTTCATCACATGACAGTTGTGAATCTAGCAATTTGTCTACCCTAATTAAGGTCCCAAAAAAAACTATTGCAAAACATATATGGTACTTGCAAATCGCGTGATTAGCCTACTTTAAGTTTAGAAGAGCTAGAGACATTAATTTTTTTAAAGTTATGTTTATAATAGATCTGTATTATAGTGATCCGGTTGGTGTACACAATGGATTGATTCTCCTTGTGTACATTTTTGTCAACTTAACATTGTAGCTGCTAGTTTGTGATTAGTAAGAATCTGATTACCTACGACCGTTGAAGATTACCAACAAAAGTTATCACATAACTAGAGGTAATTAATTAAGTAGATACTTAACTGAATAGATTAAGGAGTACGTACAATTTGTACTTATAGTACATATTTTACTTACCTATTTCGTACGTAGTTATGAAATATAGTTACCACAATGATATTTTTCTTGTTTATGATAATAACTAATGAGAGAGAGAGGAGGGACCATGGTGTCTAGGGGAGGACCAACAACGAAATTTAATCCCAATGGGTTTGGATCCCACACTGTCACATGCGTCTCTAAATCCCTCTTCCTGCTTTTCTTCTCCTCCTTAAAAATAAAACTCTATATCCAAAACTATATTTTATATATCATTACAATATTACTAGTTATTCATAATATGAATGTGAAAATATTTGAATATTTTTACTAATATTCAAAACAAATGAACTTCTCATATATATTCTTATAAAAAGCTGCTGTAAATTCACTCTCTTTTTTTTTTTGTAATTTCCATTTGTTTATACTTCATATGATAAGTCCCTCAAACCATTAGCTGTTCTGCTGAATTTTTCGTTCGGAATCTATTATATTAAAAGAGAAGTCACAACTTCTCTTCATGTGTGATATTTTTAAAAATGGGTCATTCCTAAAAAATAATGTTTCATTTATATCTTAATAACATATTATATAACTTAATTACAATATCTTTTGATATCTTTTATTTTATTTGAAATAAAATAAATATTTTAAAGAGAATTCTAACAAAATCTTTTAGAATCTTTTTCAAAAAATATATTAGATTTTAAAAAATAAATAGATATCAATTCATTGTAGTTAGAAAAAGACACAAGTGAATAAAAATAGGAAAATGTTTTTGTTAAATTTGTGTTTCACTTAACGTTGGAGTATGTCAATTTTTTTGATTCGTTTGTGTTACAAATGAATGACATAAATTGTAATGTTATATGATAGACATATTTAAAGCTATGATTTATAAGTGGTATAAATTAAAAAAATTACAAATAAAATAAGTCATGAAATCAATATTCTTTATGTACGATGTAAAATGCATTTTTGAAAATTAATCAATTTAAACTGTTATTATCATTAAATATTATTAAAATATTTATATAATTAATCTTTGTAACTATTTTTATCATAGTATCTTTTAAGATCTTTTAATATCTTTCATTTTTAAAATCTAATAAATTTATTAATTTCTTAATTAATAATAAAAATACTATTATACCTTAATATATAATAATAAATTTCAGTATCGTTTATAAAATGAAAAACTAAATTTTATCATATTTTTATTTATTTATAATCATAATATATCCTATTAAATAGTTATTATGTTGAGATAAATATGATAAAATCATATTAACATGATATATTAATATGTTTTGTTTTCATAAATATTATATTTCTATTAAAATAATATAATATGTTGTCAAAACGGGTTAGCATAGTACACTATATATTATATGTATACAAATTAGCATATCTTAAATTTATATAAATATATACAATAATTTGTTATCTAAAATTAATAAGCATAAATAAATGAACATTTGGTTGACAAAAAAACAATAAATAAACATTTAAACATATGAATATTATTAAAAATATATACCAATAATGATTAAAGAAAAATATATATATGAAATTAAACACCCGCTCGGTTGAGCGGGTCAAAATCTAGTTTATAATTATTTTGGAAGAGTCTTAGAAGACGGCACTAACCAAAATTTTAGATTATTGATAATCATTTGAACATATATTAATATAAAAGCTGTATGAGATAATCAAAAGGCAATTAAAATAACTATTGCTTTAGCATCCTATCCTCATCCTCCTCCATAAATAGCCCCCTTTCGCCACTTCTTTCTCACTAAACAACTCTCCTTTCTCCTTCAAATTCTCTCTTCACTCCCTCACTCTCATCAAAAAATTAAACACTAAAATTAAAACAATGGCGGCAAAGAGATCTTCTAAGCTAACACAAACAGCAATGCTAAAGCAAATCCTAAAGAGATGCTCGAGCTTAGGCAAGAAACAATGCTACGACGAGGAAGGTCTCCCTCTTGACGTACCAAAAGGACATTTTCCGGTTTACGTAGGAGAAAAGCGTACGAGGTACATCGTACCAATCACCTTCTTGTCTCATCCTGAATTTCTGATTCTACTTCAACAAGCAGAGGAAGAGTTCGGTTTCCACCACATGGGAGGACTCACTATCCCTTGTGAAGAAGTCGTTTTTCTCTCCCTAACATCCATGATCCGATGAGATGGAGAGAGTTTTTTTACATTATGATGAGGACTATAAGATTCTTTTCTTTTTACCTTTGGATAAAGATTTGCTATCCAAATGGGTTTTTTTTTTTCTGGACTAAAAAACCTGTAAGATCCACCTAGAAGATCATTCTCTACACGGATCATGTAAATATGGGGGGTTTTAGTTCGTTAGTTCGCCCTAAATGGGTTGGTTTCGATAGAATATTGTTGTTTTTATGAGTTGATAAGTGGTGGTTTGTTTTTTTGTTTCATCTAAAAAAATTCCGAGATGTAATGAGCCCTTTTTAATAAAAAAAATCGCTATCTCACTTGTTACATAAGCAAACAACACAAAAGTGGACAAATTGATAAGAAATACTGTTATTCATTTATTATTTATGTATGTTATATAATTTTTTTTTTTTTTTGATTTCTCGAATCTTTTTTTAGCCTTATATATTTGTTGGAAAAGTGGTGATTGCGCTAATAGATAATTACCCCAAGTTATATATTGGTTAATATTTTTTGGGGGTTAAAATCTTATAATTGTCCGAGTTTTTTTTTGGTAAAATAAAAAGTGGTTTTATTTTTTTGTTTGAAACCCAAGCTAAATAGTCATTTTTACCATGAATTGAATTCAAGTGACAGAAGTTATTAGAATTGTTTGATTTTTTTTCAAAGATCTTCATAGACGACTCAATATGCAAAGCTTAAAACGCATGCATTATAATGCATACTAAATTAAAATGCCACTCTAAGCAATTGCTTTTTTTCCTTCTAAACTAGGTTGATATAGTGTTACAAAAAAGTAGGTTTATATCGCGACAGATTATGAGTAGATTACTTCTTTAGGTGAAGCACAAGCATATTTGTCTCTAATAATTATAAGTTGGTCATATCGAAATGATATTAATAAGCATTTTAGGGTTTTTTGTAACAAATTGAATGCACGTCTCTCTTTTCTTTTTTTCTTACGAGCCACAAATCGTATATGATAGCAACTACTGTTTCTAACGCACATACCTTTTTGTTTTTTTCGCCTACATACGATACAACTATATCTCTCAGGAATATATCTTTGGGGTTCATACCAATTTTATAGCTGAAAGTTATATTATAATAGATATGCTATAATTTAAAACGTTTATGTGGTAAATCAGCAATTCCGATAGATATCAGCACCTACACGTTGTAACATTAAATCAAAACTCATATACAGTCCAAAGTAAGAAGGCCGAATCCTTAAAGTAGAAGAAAGCTACGTACGCACCAAGTTGTGAGTCGATTCAGTCAAACACGGGAGTGGGCCGAGTCTCGTAGTGGGCCTCACATCTCAGCTGATTTTGGGCTCGTCAATTTGGGTCAGAAAGTTTTTTTTTTTGCGTCTGGCTTTGATGAAAGTCATCTTATTTTTCCATAAAAGCATGTGTCTATTTGTAACAAAAAGAAAAGTTCATCTTCCCATCTGAATAGTTACAACCCAAAAAATACTGTCAGTCAGCTTCTCTCTCAGTATCAAACCAAACTAGTTTTGATCTTCCCCGTTAACAAACGAAATCAGTACTCAGGAAACTGTAGAAGCAGAGTACTTCCTGAGCCTTGAAAGCCTTCAATATCATATGATTGAACCAGCATTTCTCTTTGTATTAACCTCTAATAGACATGTAAAAAAGATACAGTATAGGGAGAAACAAACAACACAGAGACAAGAATCAAAACTTAATAAAACTCAATAGTACAAAACAACAAAACAAGAGAATCTCTTTGTCTGATGCTCAATCTCTTGAGCCTCCCTCCATTACAACCATATTTTATCTACCATTACATTGAATTTTTAAAATAATAATACTGTAAAATTAAATTTTCTTAAGACACTATATATATAAATGTAAATTCAACAGACTCTGCACAGAAAACAGATAGATATATGATGTTTGATTGATTGATATGTAACTTTAAAGAAAAAGAAAAAACAGCTAAAGACTCCAACTCTTTGATCCAGCAACCTCGACAACTTGTCTGCTCTATTCATTCGATTCAGGTTTTGTCGACTGAGACTGAGGCTGCTGCTGTCTTAACTGGCTGATGTTGAGTTGCTGGAACATCTCAGCGTTTAGTGAATGCATCTTTGATCTGTCAGCTTCTTCGTTGTGGTTGCTGCTCTCACCAATTGCCAGTTTCAGTCGCTGGACTTCCCCATTCAATGCTTCGTTCAGAGCTGCCACAGACAAACAATCATTCTCTCACATATATAGTAGTTGTTCTATTAATCTTTAAGTACATAGAAACTGACATAAGACCGTAAATGCATGAAGGATAAAATGTGATAATAAATTCTCAAGAGAAATGCATTACCATCGCGGAGTCTCGCTTGCTGCTCCATTGATTGAAGACGAAACTTGAGCTCATTGTTCTGGTTTGTCAATCCCATCATATCTCTCTGTGGTTCAACTATGATAATTAAAAACAAAAAAAAAACAAAAACAGACTAATCTAGGCGATGTTAGAAACAAAATGTAGACTTAAAAAGCACCTGCAAAAGAGTGAGCTGAGCAGACAAAGTAGTAGCCTCGGTCTGAAGAGTCTGCACTTTGTGTTCCAACTCCACTATGTACCTCATCTTCCTCTCCTTTGACCTCGCTGCAGACTGACGATTCGCCAATATTCTGTAAAAAAGATGAACAAATTGCATAAACAATGTAACCTAACCCACACAAAATATTCAACATAAATACCTTTTGACACGCTTAGGGTCAGCCACAGCCATCTCAGCTAGTTTATCATTAGCCATAATCTTCTTCATCTCCGCCGCAGTAAACTCACCGTTCTTAAACTCGATGCTAAACGCTGCACCACCACCACCATCAGCCGAACTGGTAGGAGAAACTTTCCTTGACACAGTAGTCCCAGGAGAAGGAGGCGGCTTCAGCACAGAGTCATCACCAAAAGACAATTTCTCCATAAAACAACTGTCAACAGAAACACTCCTGTAATGTCTAGTGGTAGGAGCAATGTCACCACCACCAGCTCTTCTCTTCAAGTTAGAATGACTATTCCCACTGACACTACTTGTCTCTCCCTCAGTGTCATCACTAGTCTTGGTCCCACTTGCTCTACTGCTCTCCATCTCATCCCTATTATTATTCTCAGAGGAGTTTAAGGAATCAATGTTTTCAAGATTCATATAAGCAGAGAAGAGATCATCCATTGGCATTGCTTCTCTCTCTCCAACTCCTTCCTTCTTCACAAAAGGATTAGTCTTTGACCAATCAGCAGATTCCCCACCAGAAACTGACCTCTCTAACGGCCTTGGAGGGATCAAAGGGATTGAAGACAAGCCAGTGGGGATATCACTGTTGGAGCGTCTGTGAGATTTTCTTGGAGGTAGAGTGTCTCTAGAAGAGGAGGTAGTAGTAGAGTTACACCTCGTGAAGGAGTGAGATGGAGGCAACAAGGAAGAAGCGTTGTTGCTAAAGACACGGGAGTCTCCTCTGTCTTCCATGAAGGGAGAAGGGCTTAAAGGAGGTAAGGAGTCAAAGGAGAAGAAAGAGGAAGGTTGTGACATTGACCTTGAGTGAGAAGCTCCTCCTCCCTGGTTGAAACTCTGGATCTGAGAGTAGGGTGAAGTTGGAGGAACACCTACTCGTTTAGGGTTTAATTCGAGCTGATGCTGCTGCTGCTGAGGCTGTTTAGGGATTGAAGTGTTGAATGGTGAATGGAGTCTATGGATCATATCTGTGTCTGTATCTCCCATTTCTCTCTTCTTCTTCAAGATCCGATGGTTAATGCAGTCAAATTCAAAACTTTTAAAACCCTAGAAGAAAAAAATCAAGCTTTGTTTTATGAATCGTCAAAAAGAGTTTCATCAGAAAAGAAAAATCAGAGGTATGAAAGAGGAAAATGCAAGTAGTGTTATGTTACCTCAACTTCAACGCAGTTAACTTGATTCAATCAAATGGCGCAAATGGCGAGAACCTTCGAAATTAAGACACAAACTCTTCTCTTTCTTACAACGTTGAACCTATCTACTAGTCTTGTTTCTCTTTTTTCTCTCTCTCTAGAAATTTTGTTCCTCCGCGATTTTCTCTCCCTTTGATTTCTTTAATTTTTTTTCTCGATAAGATAGTTAAAAAAGAAAAAAACGAAAGAGACAACGACTTTTTTTCGGGCACGAGAGAGAGAGAGACTAAAAAGAAGACACGGATGTCATGAGTAATTTATAAACACCTTGCAAGACGCGTGAATTTACCACACCTATTTCTCTTTCTTTTCACATTTATCCTTTTTTAATAATGTTAGTTTTACCCCATTTATGTCAACTGTATTATTTTCTTATCACCACCATAATCAGTATCGAATATCTATCGTATTACTAACGTGTGATAAATGTAAAGATAATATATCTTATGGATATGGATTGTATTCCGATTTCCGACCAACTTTGACATTTTTTGCTTAGACGAAAGATTCTGTCCTCTTTATGTCATGGACTCATGTGTATTGCCCGCATCTTTGTAAAAGCCATTCTTTGTATTTCCTTTCTTTACTTATTCTGCCTCTTACATGTATACTAGTATATATTAAATTAATAATACGTAATGGACCTCCATATTGTAAGGTTTTGATTCGGATTTATTTATAGTCGGAGTAAAAACACTCAAACGTGCTGGTGCATCTAAAAAGGAACATTCAAAATTCCAATCCAACACAAAAGAAGCAGAACTTTATATAGATCATCGGTTTTTAACCTCTCTCTCCTCTCTATCGTGCATGTTAATATTAATAGTGTGCATGCATGTTGCTTTTGTAAGTTTAATCATGGTTTTAATAACTAGTGTAAGCATGGTTTTAATAACTAGTGTAGTGCCCTATTCTTGAAAGTCTTAAGTAATAGCCGTCTACCATGTTAGGGTTCTTAGGTTAGGTTACTACTAAGAAAGCATTTAGCTAAAGGATTCACAAAAAAACGATAGTCTTTTTAGCTAAAGGATTCACAAAAAAGGATTGTTACACTAGATTTAAAACATTCTGATTAAGTTTGTCCTACCTATATATTTATATTCATAAGCTTTGAATTGCATGAACCCCACCACAACAACAAATATTGACTCTTATAACCACCTCCTTCCACGTTTCTTATAAATATCTTCATATCGCCAATTATTTGATTCCTAGACTTATACCATATTACTCATCGGTGTACAAATAATAGTAGTAAGCAAACAAAACAGGAACGAACGTGGAAAAACAATATACACAGTATGCTCGAGTATTTTTCGTGTGATTGATATGAATATTTGGTGAGTAGTAACCTAACCTAAGCGATGGAGATAACCAATGTTTATAGAAAAACTAATGAAATTTCTTTATTATTGCTGGTTATACACAGTATTATTTCTTAATATTTGGTTCAAACTATATATTTAGTTTATTATTGCTGGTTATGAATCACAGAAAACGGAAACGTGTGAGTTGATTCATGATATTACTTGTTCCAAACAAACATAGATCCTCGTGATAATTGGATAATGGAAATGCGTAATTAAGGGTGTAAATCACGTGGATTAAATCTTAGTCATATCAGAAATGGTCGTGTTTCCACCAATTAACGGAAACTGAACAACGCCTATATATATGAACCGAAACTTAGGTTGCAAATTCTAACACGATTTGTATTTATATATTTTAACACGATATATATATATATATATATATATATATATATATATATATATATTACGATTTGTATATTAAATCTATGACTTTTTTAGCACAATGTATGACTTTTATAAAAAGGGTATGGCCATCTAGTGTTATTTTTCATCTAGTTTTATATATGCAAAACATTTTTACTAGAGTAATAACTTGTTCTTGAACACACATAACTAATTTCACTGCCAATGTTAATGTTTATGTGTTTGTTTGGTATGTGTTCTTGATATTACTTTGGCAAATGCTGCAACAACCGTTGGTCGCACGCCTAAACTTCGGAATAATTTTTCTATTATAATGAATGTACACTTTGGTGAGTCCACCTAATTTTAACTTTGTAGTGAGTTGACAATTAAGGAGAAAAATTTGAGAAAGGAAAATAGAGGAGAAAAAATTCAAAAACGAATTTAACAATACAAGAGATAATTAAAATTTGTAGGTTTTTACCAATACCACATTATACAAATATTTGTGTATATGTCGAAGCGACCCTACAGCTCTCTCGCTTATCTTTGATTCAAATACAAAAAAAAATTAGACATAGCGACAATTCCGCCGATCGCAGCACGTGGGTTGTACTACATCCGTTAGATGATAGTAGACATACATATAGGGACCCACTTATATTATTCCCATTATTGGGGCTCTCTACGTGACGTGGCCGATTCTATGAATCAAAGAGTGAGAGGTCATGTCCAATTTTGACAATGTTGAATGTAGCAAAAAAAAACTATCTGTGCGTTTTAGCATTCTAACGACTATCCACCCAGTCCACTTCTTTTTTATCATTAGCTAGAGTCTTATCATAACTTTTAACACGACCTTCTTCCACAGCCCAGATAGAAACTTGCATGGACGAAACAGCTATGATGATACAAAGCTATGCCGTTGTAGATGGATCCATAAGACTCTGCCGTGAAACAAACACAAGTGGTTTTCCAAATCTTAAATTAAACTATGACAACATCATTCACTAGACTGTTTTTACAATTACATAAACACGAAACCAAGTCAAAAACAAGACTACTAAAACATTTGGCATTAGCTGAACTATATAGACAACAAAAACAACAATGAGCCTACTAAGCTTTTCATTCTTTCACCCGTCTTTTGAACCTAACTGTTAAAAAAAGGGATGAAGAGAGAAACACACCTTATATAACATAAAGGTTCATAAAAAATCTTGGCTACTTGATAATGATGTAGCGATTCGTGCCATGCCTAGCCCAATAGTCCTTGAGATCAACCGGAGAGGAGAGGTCGTGCCCTTCTCCAGCTAAACGGCTAAGTAACCTGGAGAATACGTTTCCACTCATCTTCCTACCTCCTATCCGAGAATGCCTCTTGTTTGGCATCTGCGGGAGCGGATACTGAGACAATGTGGTTGTGCAGCAAGACGATTGCCACCCACCGTTCCCCCATTTGTAACACTGACGAGCAGTCCCTGTGCAAGTACACATTGGCACTGGCATCGTCGTCTCATCGAACGTGACAAGGTTTAACCCCACATCGTTACATTCCCAATCTTTCCTGCATTTCTTCCCAGGAGAAGCAAGCTGACTGTTCAGATCTTCCCCGCCCACTTTCTTCCCCTTTGACCGCGTATCTTTTTTCCTTTTGGTGGACCTGGTGTTGGGTGATTCATGTGGAATAGTTGACAACGGAGAAGGGTTAGGTAAGTGGGTTTCTTCATTGAAACAAGATTGGTAGCCACCACGCTTTGCACAATCCAGAATATAGTTTAAATGGTTTTCACGGTGTTGAAGAGCAGTCAAGGCGTTTTCCCTCTCCATGATAGCGTTATCTCTTTGCGAGAGAGCTAAGTCACGTTGCTGAAGGGCTTCGTCACGAGCGGCTAACGCTTCCTGCTTAGCAGCTAAGGCTTCGTTTCTTTCCTTGACGGCAGCGTCTCTCTCGGCAAGGATGGACATGATCTTCTGATTCATCACCAGAGCATTATGTTGGTCCTTGATCTGATGCTGAGGCATCATATTTCCCACTCACTCCTGAGGGATAAAAAGAGAAAGAAAGATATCAAACATTGAAAAGATGTCATTACACGAAAGGAGCAGAGCAGAAACTCCTTACTAAAGAATAATGCCATTCACAGTTGTTTACTAACTTGAAAAACAAATATTAAATCATAGTTGAGCAATCCAATCTACACAAAGATTAGAATGTAGAATTACCAAAAAGACCTCACTCATCACTAGTTGAGTTGTAGCAGCTATAGAATAAATTCACCATTACAATTACAAAAAACATCACTCAAGAGAGTCACTCTCTAGGATATATGAGCAGCAAAGAGTTCGAATTTCAATTTGAGAGCTTTCAGAATAACCCAATTTCGAAGGAAAGGGAAACAATTTGGGGAAAATAAAATCAAATTCGAACCCTATAATGTGTATATATATATTCGAATCATCAATACAAGCATGAAAAAAAAAATAATAAGAAAATGGATCGAAAGCTTACGGGTTTCGCAGGAGGAACGAGGAAAGGCAATCGAGAAAGATCTCGGGACGGAGAGAGAGAAAGTTCTGTAGAGCCCGAGGAGGAGGAGGAAGAAGATAGCTCCACACTTAAATGACAAATATACCCCTCTTTTACCAGTTTCTAAACACATACGAGGAAGGTTATTATCGTCTATCTAGTAGTATACGTAAAATGTTGTCTAAAACGTGGGCCGGATAATGAATAAAGCCCATATTGAGATCCCGACGTGTGCGCTTCTTCGCTGGGTTGTAATATATTATCATCATTCATCATCAATCATTCACCTTCCTCGGAACGGAACTTCATCGTGATTCAATCGGCGTCTATCTTAAGATTCAGATTCATCGAAAAATGTCAACGTTCAGTGGGGATGAGACCGCTCCTTTCTTCGGCTTCCTTGGCGCTGCCGCTGCCCTCGTCTTCTCCTGTAAAATTCCCATTTCTATTTTTACCATTTTCTATTTCTCAAATTTGCGATGGTCTTGTGTGTGTTCATGATGTTCCGTTTTGGATTGGCCCGTTGTAGTTAACCGATCTGCATATTTCTCCTGGATTTGATTTGACTTTAGAGATATTTAATTAACTATTTTTTGTTACTTTCTAGGATTCTAGTGTTGGCATTGGATCAAATTCTTGTGATCTGATCTGTTTAATTTTCTAAAGTCATAGCGAATGTAGCCAGGGAAATTGCTAAGTAGTACCTTTAGGGGAAGTAGACATTTACTTAGTTACCATCTCTTTGATTCACTATTTTTTTTACAAAGCTTAATTTCATTTGATCTAAAAGAGAATATAAGTATATCTTGGGTTATTTCCCTGACCATGGTGGATTTTGATTAGGCATGGGAGCTGCGTATGGGACTGCCAAGAGTGGTGTTGGAGTGGCATCTATGGGTGTTATGAGACCAGAGTTGGTGATGAAGTCTATTGTCCCCGTTGTCATGGCTGGTGTCTTGGGTATCTACGGTTTGATTATTGCTGTTATCATCAGTACCGGGATCAACCCCAAGGCTAAATCTTACTATCTTTTCGACGGATATGCACATCTCTCCTCTGGTCTCGCTTGTGGTCTTGCTGGTCTTTCTGCTGGCATGGCCATTGGTATCGTTGGTGATGCTGGTGTCAGGTAAATCAATTCTCATGGCCTCTCTCTCTCGTTTAGCTTTTCTGACCATGTCTCATTTTGTAACTTTATGTTTTTGTGATGGCAGGGCTAATGCTCAGCAGCCAAAGCTTTTTGTTGGTATGATTCTTATCCTCATTTTCGCTGAAGCTCTGGCTCTATACGGGCTCATCGTCGGTATCATCTTGTCCTCCCGTGCTGGTCAATCCAGAGCCGAATGAGGAAGAGTATTGCGGTTCTTCTTTGATTCCATGTGATTCTTTCTTTTGCTTTCTCGCTCTGTCTTTTATCATTTCTCAGGTTTAATAGAGGCAACACACAGTGGTTCTGCTACTTGTTGTACCATACCATGTTTGCTAAGCGTGTCTACGCGAAACTCTGTTATGCTTGTAATTTTCTTCTCTTCCTAGTAAGAGAGACCTCCCTATTTAAAAATCTTTTTTTGTCAGTCTTAATAAATCACAGAAAACTCAATTTGATCTTGTTTACGAAACTCTTATCTTGGTTTTATCACTTTGCTATCAAATCATACTACAAGAACTCTCATCGAGAAATGGATGTAGAACAAATAAATTAATCTGACCACGTATATGGGCCTATAACCATTTTAATATTGAGCCCAGGCCCATATTCTTTAGTCCAAGAGACCGACCGTATACAGTGATGACAAGCGTCATAACCGTCTCTTCTGATTCCGAAACTGAATCGTAAAAGGCATTTTTTTCAGAAACTCTCGATTAATCTCCCCTCTTTCCCTCATAAATACAAAAGCCAAACCCGATCACACACATATATATAAATATAGATACATATGTTCAGCTTCTTGAAAAAGCTAGGGTTTTATTCAACCTTCTCTCGATTATATGATCCAACAACCACCAACCGAGAAATGTCCTCTCCCGAAATTAGGGCACAAAAGAAGCAACCGCCGTCCCCAATCACTTCCCTCCCCGAAGAAATCTTCGTCGACATCGTCGCGCGCGTCTCCCGATCCTACTACCCGACTCTCTCCCAAGTCTCCAGACGCTTCCGATCACTCGTCGCCTCCCCCGAGCTCTACGCGAGACGATCCTTCTTGAAACGCACGGAGCAATGCATCTACGTGGCGATCTCAAAAGATCAGACCTCAGACATCCACTGGTTCACTCTCTCCGATGGTCACCGCTTGATTCACATCCCTTCCCTCCCTCCGATGCCTCTCAACGGAAGCTACGTCGCCGTCGGGTCCAGCATCTTCGTGATCGGCGGGTTTCAAGATTGGAGCATCACTGCGAGCGTGTCCCTAATCGATTGCAGGTCTCACACGGCGAAGGCTCTCGGCGAGATGCCTAAGGCGGTTGCTGGATCGGTGACGCAGGTAATCGACGGGAAGATTTATGTGATTGGAGGATCGGACGGTCATTCGCCGATGAAATCTAGGTCAAGGAGTATGATGGTGTTTGATTTGGAAACTGAGGTTTGGAAGTTAAAGCCGTGGCCGGATTGGGAGCAAGGGAAAGTCTGGTTTAGTAGTGTGGAGATTGGAGGGAAGATTTACATGAGGACTTGTTACAATAGCTTCGTTTACGATCCCCTCGCGGTTACGACGAATAACTGCGTTGGAGATGAGGTTTTGCATTCCAAGGAGTGGCTTGGTGCGTGTGTGATTGAGGAGGTTTTGTATTACTATGACGTTCGTGGGAAGTGTTTGAGAGGGTTTGATCCTAAGGCGAGAGCTTGGGGAGTTGTGAATGGTTTGGAAGGGTTGTTGCCTCGGGGTTGTTCGTGGTCGAAAGCTGCGAGTTACGGAGGTGGGAGGATGGTTTTGTTTATGCAGGCGGATGAGATTTGGTGTGCGGAGATTAAGGTGGAGAGACGTGAAGGAGGGGAGATTTGGGGGAGTGTTGAGTGGTGTGATGTTGTGCTTGGTGGGAACTTTCGGATTATGGATTGTGTTCCTGTACCTGTTCTGCTCTGATGTTCTTGTGAATATAGTATTGTCTCTCTTTGGTGCTTATTAGCCTTTGTGTGAATGCGTGCTATAAGATTTGGTGTGATCTTTGTGTTTAGTTGGCTAATTTTACATGCTGAATCTTTGTCCCTCATCATGCTGGTTCTTGTGTGTTCATGTAGTGTTATATAAAACATGATCAAGTTTAGAAGAGATGAAACTTTTTTCTATGTTAATACTCTTTGGATGAGACAATGTAAATAGTCTAACATAAATTTCCAAGTATATATAAACTGAAGAGTTAATGAAGATTGGGAATGAAAGGATGTATACATGCTTTAGAACTGCATTCGCAGCAACAAGCATCACCATAACTATATACTCGACACACCCCTCCGTTGGGGAACCCCATAGATCTGCATTTTGCATCGCATACCAATGTTTCTGTACACCTCTCCTTGGTACATTTGTAATATTGTCCTAATTGTTACATAAACAGACACATTAACAATACATTACATAATGATATACAAATGGGAATGTTGTGCGTCTATTTGAGAAACTCAGACGTTAAAACAAAACAAATATGTCACCTGAAATCATAGGCAATAGGATGAGAGCAAACACCATTAAGAAGGGTAATTGAAGAAACGAAAACTTCTTTGCTGCCATTATTTGTTTTCACTGTTTGATCAAAGATGTTGGAGAAAAAAACTTTGTAAAACAGTAAATATGCTTTACAATATGCTTTGTTAAAAGAACTAACCACATATATATAGTAGTAAATCTGTCATATGGAAACAGAACTTTGACTGTAACTTTTTCTTATTTGACTGTAACTTTGGTCAACATATTTCATTAGATGTTTCCGTTTGAGATTTGTGTTTGCATGTTAATGTTAAGTTATCACTTCAATGATTAAAATTTTCTCAATTTATACAGGTGCCAATAAAACTTTGGCTAAAAAAGTATACCAATTACATAATGTTGGCTCCTTCAAAAATCAAAAGACGAACAAAGGGACAATAAATGATACAAAGAAGATATACACACAGCTACAAAGAAACCATAATGTCAATGCCGAAAACAGATGGTTAGAAAAGTGAAGGGATGCTTTTGTCCAACTATGCCATCTCTAAGCTGTAAGAAGGAAAGAGGCGTGAAGGCCAGACCAAACATCTCCTTCATGACTCTGCCTTGTTCAGTGAAGCTCACAAGCTTTGCTACAACATCTGCACTTTCCGCAACATGACTCATGTCCTTGGGATTGCTCCAAAGCGCGTTCACAAGTTGTAAACGTCTGCGTTTGGTGTTAACCGATATTCCAAACTTGTGATAGATTCTTGTCCTCTCTTCCTCTGAAAACCTTTTCCTCACAAGCTTGCTCAACATCTTTCTCTCCTTGTGAAGCGCCTTCCGGCTTTACCAAAACCAAAAAGAAAAGAGTAGTCCACTTAAACAAAACTGCAACAACCAACAAATGCTAAAACCAAAACATATCTAACCTTGAAGCCAATGTTAAGGTTTCTCCTTCATCCAAGGCATGGTGTCTCTTAGAGAAACGATCTTTCATATACAAAAGTCTCCTTAGCTCAACTCCAATGTAGATAGAATCAGCCTCATCATCTCCTGTGAAGAGCAAGTAGAAGTATGTTCTATGCACCAAAGAGACGTTACAGGTTTCCCATAACACTAAAATCTCTTTCCTCTGTCTCTCAAAATCCTCGTCCACATGACCAAGGTCCCTCCCCATTATACCAGAATCCTCAGCACTCGAGACCTAATGAAAAACAAAAAATTCCATAAGCCAGCCTAACGATTAGTAAATGTTCTTTTTTTTGGGAATATACCTGGCCTTGACGCTCTGCCACCTCCATAAGCCCATTAAAGAAAGTACTGATGCTAGTGATACTTCCCTCTTCTCCCAATGGAATACTCTGGACTCCTGTGGAACCGCTCCCACAAGAAGACATAGAACCATTCTCTAAATCAGAAAACACACTTTCATGGGGAGTGCTCGTGCCTGGCAAGGTATGTATGTGGTTCAGCCTTCTCAACTTCACGTTTTGGCTTACACTCGTTTCACCATTATTAGTATCATCACTACGGCCTAAAACGTGTTTAGGTTCTGCTCTCTTATTTTTGTGGTTGTCATTGGCTGATTCCTCAATCTCAATGCACTCAACTTCTCTGTAATATTCATCTGATGGATCTTCTAAACGCCTAAGCAGCTTTTCTTTGAGATCATCATCTTCAGAGTGAAGCCGAACATAAGCACTCCTGTCTGATACTGAACCATCCTCCAACTTTGAGGCCTCAACGTGTTCAAGCCGGGACAGAGCAAGATCCCTCTCTTTTCTCAACTCTTGAATCTGCTTTTCCATCTTCATCACATTAAAACCTTTCATTGTCAATTAACCCTAAACAATCCCTACAGTTACCAAAAAAAAAAAAAACAAAGCCAATGTCATTACCTTTAGTATCAGAACATCTTTCTTCCTGACCATCACTGCACAATCACAGTTAGAGGCAGCGTTTCTCAGCTCGGTCTGGAGCCTCGCAAGCTCACACTGTAGTTGCTTCAGCATAGCCTTGTCTGACATAACAACATTGATCCTCGCCTTTGTGGTAACTTCTTTTGCAGAGCAAGCAAACAAGAGAGTGTTCTTTGTCAGCTCTACATGACTCCTTGCGGGGCTCAGAGTGCAGATGATGGCGGTTCTTGCATTACCAGCCAAGCATGGCTGTAAGATTCTTGTGAGCTTGGAGTCTCTATAGTTGATGTACCCTCCTTGTCTTCCCTTACTAGAGATGGTTTGATTAGTAACATTAATCTATCTAAGCATGCCAAAAGTAATGTATAAGAAGGGATGATGTATAGTTTAACAGACCTAAGTTTACGGATCACAGTTCCAAGAGCAAGCAAACTTTTGTTGATATGGCAGCCTTCCTTGAGCCTCGAACCAGCTGACATAGCTTGTGACGCACGCTCGCTTCCCGCCAGATCTATGAAACTCTACACACAAAATAAAAACAGATGTACATGAACATTTAAAAAACCTCAGGTTCCAAATAGATAGCTATGCAGAGGAGAGCATACATACCACACTAGCCATGAGGGTGGTGGAGTTTTCTTTGCCTAATAACTCACGAGCACAGCTTTCAACTGTCTATAAAAACATTCAAAGGCTAAGTAAGAGAGTGAATATTTGTAGCTTAAATACAGTGACAGATAGGAGAGTAACCAGTTTGATAATTTGATGAGATCTGGAACTTCTCTCATTCAGTGAGGTTTCACCAATCTTACGCTGCGCTGCTAAGATACATGCAAGTTTACTTTTCAGACAAGCGTTGGCTACTTCATTAGTAATGCAAAGTGATTTTTTTTTGACTTTTGGGTGTTCTACCTTGACAAACAGATAAAAGGTCTTTGAGATGGTTATAGTCTCTCAGAGTTTCCTCTGTGGCATTTTCAACAACTGTCCCTTTCTAAATACATAAGCAAAGAAAGAACAAAGTTTACAAACTAAAAGCGTTTTGTGTTCAGTAAAGAAAAATGAAAATTAATAATTACCTCAGGATCGTCATGTAGCCTCAGGGATGTACCATCCGAGTTAAGCAGATCTCTAATGGCCTCATTGTATATCTCTATAGCTGAAAACTTCACGGAGAAGGCCCTTTCTTCATGCTACATCATCCGGATACAGTTTAGTATTCGTGCAACATTTATTAGCATTATCTTGGTTTAAAATAGCGAATTTCTCAAAACAAATGATGCAATGAGGAATGATAACCTGAGAAATATAGTCAAAAATGTCAGCCACAGCAAACTCAGTAATCCCAGTCATGGTGTATGTCTTTCCACTACTCGTCTGGCCATATGCAAATATACTACCTGCCAAAACGTCAGAGTCATTTCAAGAAGTGAGCATATATATATGGTTGAATCAGCAAAAAAAAAATGGGCACAAAGAGGCTCACAATTGACTCCTTTGACAACAGATAGAGAAATTTCCTTGGCTCCATCCTGATAAACTTTTCTGGTGGGACATTCACCTCCATATACTCTATCTGTCACCCACAAAATAAATATAAACTCAAACAAGAAATTTTTATTTGAGACTTTGAGTCAACATACAGATGAAAGTAGTGAGATGTTTAGGATATCAAAGGGGAAGGCCAGGTTGAATAGTTGATATAAAAGGTGTGATGATGTTGCTGAATATCTACTTACCAAATGAATATGCAGAGGGAATGTTTAAGCCTTGGCGCAGGGTGTTTGTGTACAAGATGGTAGTATCATTGATACATTCCCAATCCGTAGCTTCGTTAGCAGCAATCTCTTTCTTGTTTAGGGGCCTCAATCTCACCATAACTGTTATCTTCTCTTCTCGAGCTGCAGACATCATCTGTGTCTTTTCAATTTTATTCAGCAAGGGTTATTACCATATGAGCACCATTGGTTTTGGTTTCAGTGTGTAACCAGAGGAACCTCGTTTCCCTCCCTGAAACACAGAATAATTTTTGAGAGAAAGGACCAGAGGGGCCCTTTATTAACACAAAGCATAAAATATTTGGCAAAACTCAAAGAGATTAAAACATGAAACATGCCCTTGATTATGGTGTGCTGAAAGAGAAAGAAAGAAGATAACTGAAAGCATTCGATGAACCAAAACACAAGGTATAAGAGTAGACTTTTTTTTTTTTAGACTAAAAACAGTTTACTTAGAGGTGGTCAACCACAACTTGAAGAAAAAAAAACAGAGAGTATTAAACCGACTTTTTCTGTAATGGTCACCCACTAACCTATGCTTGCAGACTTTAAAACTCACGTTTATCAGTCTGAACATTGTTTAAATCGAAATATATGTCCAACAAAAAAAAATAGTCTCTTTTATCTCTGAAATGTTACTTGGATTAGGACTCAAAAAATCAAACATAAAAACGGATGTCTCAATAACTTGTGTACAAATCAAAGGCCACTCCTGGTTAGCCTACAAACTAATAAAGATGAGAGATATTGTTTATGATTGTATTAAGTTGCGGTATGTGTGACAATTGGTCCTACTTTGGGAGCAGATTCCTCTCCTCTGAAAACTCTATGACTAGTACTCTGGGTATCCCACAAGACAAGATGCAACCCTTTAACCTTCATACTATGTCTGAAGAAACATGGTAAGGTCTGAATAATTTTCTGGAGAAACATGAACAACTAATTTCTCAAACCTTTTTAATTTTCATACTATGTCACTGCATGATGCAAAAATGCATTAAAATAAAATTTTCATTTTTTCTTATTTTTCTCAAAATATGTGAGCTAACCCCTACGGAAAATTCGAATTTTTCAAAAAATGTTTTTTTTTCCAAAAGTTTAGGCTCTTTATTGTTGATTAAAAGTTATCTTATCACATTTTACATTTATATTAATGTATGATAAACTTATTTTAATGTTACATGAACAACGTTTCTATATATCCATGAGGTAATTTATTTAAATTTTATATACCACTTAATCAGTAGTCAAACCCACTATAAAAACAAAATTCTATTTTCTAGAAAAACATGAACATCTAAGGTCTCAACCCTCTTTAACCTTCATACTATGTCACTGAATGATGCAAATATGCATAAAAATAAAATTTTCATTTTTTCTCATTTTTCTCGAAATATGTGGGTTAACCCCTACGGAAAACTAGAATTTTTCAATAAATGCTATATTCAGAAGTTTAGACTTTTTATTAATGATTAAAAGTTATCTTATCACATTCTATATTTATATTAATGTATTCTAAATGTATTTTCATGCCACATGAACATATGTTTCCAATTTTCCATCAGGTAATTTATATAAACTTTATATGCTACTTATTCAGTGGACAAACCCTTTATAAAAACAAAATTCTATTTTCTAGAGAAACATTAACATCTAAGGTCTCAAACCTCTTTAACTATCATACAATGTCACTGAATGATGCAAATATGCATAAAAATAAAATTTTCAATTTTTTTCGAAATATGTGGGTTAACCCCTACGGAAAAGTAGAATTTTTCAAGAAATGCTATTTTCAGAAGTTTAAGCTCTTTATTGTTGATTAATAATTATCTTATCACATTCTACATTTATATTAATGTATTCTAAATGTATTTTCATGCCACATGAACATCGTTTCCAAGTTTCCATCAGGTAATTTATCTAAATTTCATATACAACTTAATAAGTGGACAAACCCCCTATAAAAACAAAATTCTATTTTGTAGAGAAACATGAACATCTAAGTACCCAAACCTCTTTAACCTTTATACTATGTCACTGAATGATGAAAATATGCATTAAAATAAAATTTTCATTTTTTCTGATTTTTCTCAAAATATGTGAGTTAACCCCTACAGAAAAGTCGAATTTTTCACCAAATGCTTTATTCAAAAGTTTAGGCTCTTTATTGTTGATTAAAAATTATTTCATCACATTATAAATTTATATTAATGTAAGCTAAATGTATTTTCATGCTACATGAACATCGTTTTTAAGTTTCCATCATGTAATTTATCTAAATTTCATATACCACTTAATCAATGGACACACCCACTATAAAAACAAAATTCTATTTTCTAGAGAAACATTAACATCTAAGGTCTCAAACCTCTTTAACCTTCATACCATGTCACTGAATGATGCAAATATGCATAAAAATAAAATTTCCATTTTTTCTCATTTTTCTCGAAATATGTGGGTTAACCCCTATGGAAAAGTAGAATTTTTCAATAAATGCTATATTTAGAAGTTTAAGCTCTTTATTGTTGATTAAAATTTATATTATCACATTCCACATTTGTATTAATGTATTCTAAAAGTATTTTCATGCCACATGAACATTGTTTCCAAGTTTCCATCAGGTAATTTATCTAAATTTCATATACAACTTAATCAGTGGACAAACCCCCTATAAAAACAAAATTCTATTTTGTAGAGAAACATGAACATCTAAGGTATCAAACCTCTTTAACCTTTATACTATGTCACTGAATGATGCAAATATGCATTAAAATAAAATTTTCATTTTTTCTTATTTTTCT